CGAGTGCTAGCCTAGCGTACAGTATTCGTAGAAGGTTCGTTGCAGGGTGCTCCGTGGCTAGTGAGGGGTAAAGGGTGAAAGGTGGAGTGAGGAGGGTGACGGGGAGGAGGGGAAGAGGAAGGGGGGAGGGTGGCAGTTGTCGGCAATAGGGCGAAGGAAGAAGCGGAGGAGCGTCGAGAGAGAAGCCCAGGTCCGTCGGTATCGATCGGGCGTCTGCGGTAGATTGACACGTGTCATGGCCGCCTCTCTCGGTGCCGGAGAGAACGAAAGGAAGGAAAGCGAGAGAAGGACGGCGGTCGCCGTGAGAAACCGCGGAATAAGGGAGAGGAAGTGAGAAGGAACAGCGGCGGTGACGGCAACGACGGCGGGTAGCGCGCGGAACAGCGAAGGTAGAGGAGGACGACGCGGGGGCTGTCGAGTGGGTGGCTAGCCGGACGGGGGCGACGAGGGAGAGAGAAGGGGGGAGGGCGAGGGAAAAGGACATTAAGGTGCGTAATAGCCAGCGGGGCGAGCGCGCACCGCCGCGGCATCGATTAGACAGAGGCTCCCTCATCCCATTGCTAGAATGCAGCCCACTCCCTCCTCCGCCACCTTCAACCACCCACTCACCCGCCATCCGCCTCCCCCTGTCTCCTCTGCCACCCTCCCCCTCCCCCTTCTTCTCCCCTTACACAGGGGTCCTCACGACCACCCATCTCCACCCACTCCGTCGAACTGGAGAGCCCCCGAGTACGTGCTCTACATACACACTCGCGCGCTTATGTCAGTTCCTGTCCTGCTGCCGGCACTTCCACTGCCTCCGCCACCGTTGCAAGAATGGAAAAGGAGAGAGAAAGCGTTGGGTCTCGGGAGAAAAAGAGACGGCGGCTACGGCGCGGAGGGTGACCGAAGCCACCTCTCTATCCTATCCCGTAGCACCTACACACGCGCCGCCGGGGACACCAACGTCTAACGTCGTTATAAACATTAACGGAGCGGCTCAATATTCCCCGGACCTTGCATCTCTTCCCTCCTCCCTCTTTGTCCACCTTCGGTCCATCTCCCTTCTCGGGCAAACCGTCCCCATCCCGTCTCTACTTGCTGGACGCTCGCATGCGGCGAGCTCACCTTGCTATGGTTTCCGGGTCCTTCGTTGACCCTACGAAGGGTTACCTAGTTGGTATGCCCCGAATGACCGAAGTCGAAAGGGTGTGCTCGCCACTTCTTAGCGAATGTACGAAACATTGAATGGTATCTGGGAACGTAACTAGCTTTCGGACATTGTCCGTCTACCCGATGACGTGGACCTTTATCGGGAACCGCTTATTCTTTGAGCTAACTCTAGATATAAACTTGAAAAATCTAATTAACTGATATATTCGTCATTTATTTATGATAATATTAAATTCATATTCAAGGGATTATTTATGCAGATTATCAGTACTGAAATAAATAAATATATATATATATTTCTGAACATATAATATAATATATCATAAAATATTTTCAGAACATTTGGCACAATAGAGGAAATCATTTTTAATTTATTTTCATGTGTGTTATTCTATATATACATAATCAAACTTCATTCTTAACAACAAGATATCTCTACAATAAATAACTCATTAAAAATTTTGATTGAAAACAGAAAAAACGAATGTCGCTATTCTTAAAATTAGAAATACGAACAAGTTGAGCAGAATTACGTTAGGGAGATTTGGTCGACTTCATACGATCACTCGGTAGATCTCATCGCTGGATGGAAAAGAGAAGAACGATGAAGAGGAGGTTAAAAGAGTCTGCGGGAATGGAGTCGTGGCCGCTTACGGCTTCGGATCGAGATCGTCTAATTTCGTTCGACGAGTCCCGTAAGGATCCTTCTCTTCGTCGCCTTTTTCTTCGTCTTCTACTTGCTCTACAGGCTTCGATTTCGGTGACGGGGTCGTACGAGACCGGCGCATTCTTGTCCGAGGGATCGCGCTGATTATTGTTAATTATAGCGGGCATTAAAAGCGAGAGAGGGTGCAGGACCCTCGATCATTCCAGTCAGATTAGTGATGATGATCGAAGGCATGGTAGATGTGTTCCTCGTGGAAATTGCATTTTAGCCTTTTCAGTACAATATATAAATTATGTGTATATTATAATTAAAATACACGATATTTTATCAAATAATTAATTCTTCTGCGTTACATAATAATTTATTACATCTTAATTTTATATATAATATCAAGTTTATACACATACACAAACACGATATATCTATCGACATTTTTCATATAACAAAAGATAATTTACAATTTTACCCTTCTGTACACACGTGTCAAAAATAAATAATATTTAAGAAATGTAAGTTATATATACAGATAAATTAATATAACATTATTAAAATATTGACTTACATACATTATACTCGCACAATTAATTTTGCAATATAATCCATGCTATAGAAAATTTGTTCGTAGCGATAATTGAACAAGTATTTATTTCTCATGTCCCCCCCCCCCCCCCCCCCCCCCCCTCCCTCTCTCTCTCTCTCTCTCTCTCTCTCTCTTTGCGATCAAATCGTAAGGTTATTTCGAAGAGCAATCTCACGTTTACGCGAACCTTATTGGTAGCAGGTGCGCGTCCTTTTTCTACACACTATGATCCGTAATTAGGGATTAGTTACCAACGATCCTCGATCAACGAGGAGTTAGCTGAAAGTGCCATGTGATGCGTCAACCATGGATATTATATTGACGTATCGATGTCTCAACGATGTTCAACGAGCATCGTCCAATTAACGGCTATCCGTATTTTATTCTTTTTGACAAATACTCGTAAATCTCGGCAAATCTGTCCATCTGGTTTATCTACCCTCCACAATACTCGCGCCAATCGTTCTTCTTATTAATGTCGTACACGTGTTACATACATGATACGACAGATTTATATAAAATCGTTTGGGTTTCCAAGTCTTTTATTAAAATCAGTTTATTTTGATTTATCAAACTGCATGTTTTATTTGTAGTCAATATTAGAATTGTTTGAGCTATTCATTTTGTAATTAATATATACGATATTTATCGCCGTCTTTGTTAAAAGCAGGTTATTCGAGAAATTATTGAACTCTGCTTATCAAAAATTCGATTTGATTGCGACAAGTGTTTTAATTATTCAAAAAAGTAATTTTCAAATTAATTCAAACTTTGGAAAAATTGATTTATTTTATTAACCAATGGCATATAAGATATATCTTGATATATGTACATGCAGAGCATTCTAATATTTTTTATTGAACTTCAGCGTGTTCTATGCATTATATCGATAAAAGAATATCATACAAATGTAGGTTTGTAAATGCATTTTTTTCAATGCGGAATCTCATATGCAACTATAATTATTATTGTAAATATAGCTTGAAAAATCTATGGGAAAAAATTCATTATATTAAATATTATGACAGTTGTATGTATATATGTGCGCACGTGCATATGATGAAATTACAATATGTTGCCTTACTTCAACAGCGTTCCATTGTATTTGTGATATCGGAAGGACAAATTACAAAAAATTCTCCATGAAATTTTATTCCAAGTTTTCTTTTCAGAGGTATATTGGCAACGAGGGAATAATCCACAAAGGGCTCGTTCGGTCTCTTCAGTGTAGCACGCATGATACGCTGGCATCCGATCGAGCACGGTTAACCCGGGCGCTAAGTTGGTCATGTCGTAACAAAAACATTTTTGCAACTTCTCAACTATACGCAAATCGAATTTCAGTCACGTCAAAGGTAAACTATAAACGACAACGAAACCGGGAACCGGGATGTTAGCCGATCGGCGGGAAGAATAGGAGTAGGAGAGGGAGACGACACCGATGAGCGTGTTTCGGATGGAAATTTCATTCGCTAGTTTTCTCCGCTTAATAAGACGAGAGACGGAGAGATCGTCGCCGGTTCGTAGACTTCGGAAAGGGGAAACAGAAAGGGCGCAACAAGGGCGGGGGTGATGCAGAGGACGCGCACGGGCTGCCGGTTGAAAGGGGAACGCGGTGGATCGGGGCGAGGGGGAAGGGGGAAGGGAGAGCTGCAGAGGGGCGGCCAGGACTGGGAGGCGAAGTGTCGTCGTCCGAATAACGGCCAAGCGGCATCGACCGATCTTTCTGCCCCCCCCCCGGCCCGCACGAAGCGTCAACTTGTTTCCCTTCTGCTGCGCGAATATCGGACCTTCAATTTGCCCACTGCGGTTCGCTAACGCGATTGTCCTCAGCGAGCTGTCCATGACGCGGTTGTAGTGTGACGCGTGATCGGGGTATGACAGCTAAACGATTCCCGAATTCACTACGTAATGTTGCATACGCTCAAAAACGTGAACAAATGAATTTCTGATATCGAATCAACGAATAAAACGAAATAACAGCTGAAAAGCGCTTTTTTTATAGATTTTTTTTTAAATTTTTTCTACAATCTTATCAAAACAAAAATACACAATCCAATTGTATATTTCTTTTCAAATTTTGTATTTTTAAATTTGGATGCACGCGTTGTTTAAACTTGATTTCGTTGTTATTATATGTATATATTCGGGAATTCAGAGAATTTCAAAGTATCACGGAACATATACGTTAAATTAATATGACAAATATACAACATAAGCATTTACGTTTTTATAAATACATTGTTATAGATATCTTTTTATATTTTCGACAATTGGAAGATAAATAAAATTGAATTTAGAATAATGTTGTAATTTATAATAACTTGAATGTTACAAAGCACGTATTACACGTGCATCATTTATTTCCATACGTCATATATTATGAAACTATAAATTTAATTCGCGCTGCCGCGTCATGAGAGACATACTCTTATAGAAGCTTATAATAATAAATATTTAAAAAGAAAATAATTTCTCTCTCTCTCTGTTCCTCTGTTCCTCTCTTATTCTCTCTCTCTCTCTCTCTCTCTCTCTCTCTCTCTCTCTAGCTAATGTAATAAAGCGCCGCTAATAATAATTTTGTCACTTTTATTATTTCAGCGCAGTTTTATTTAATCAATGGAGGGTTACGAAGACGACGATGACACCCATTTTTGCATCAAGTGCAATTTGACAGTACACGGTCTCGACAACTATGTACGGCATCGTCGATCGGGTTGTCGACCTCTTGACGATAAAAATGAGACCGTTCACGAGTCACCTTCGACGCCGACGACGGTATCTTATCCCGAAATTTTAAACGCGGATGCTTTCTTCAATTCGTTGGAGTTACAGAGCAGCTCAAAATCAAATCCTCGACGAGCACCGACTTTACTAGATAATAATAGAAAATTCAAAAAAGAGGACAGAAGAAAGAAGGACCAAAAAAATCAGGTGGATGGCGCGAAGGATAAGCTTCACAGTATGTCACCTGCTGTCAGCGATCTGGACGATCCAACTGATCACCTATGCATGCAATCCCTCAAACAGACCGATCGAAAGAGGCAAGAAAATCCTCAGCGAATAGTGTCAGATCAACAGAACTGGTTGGAAGACACTATTCTTGCCGATCTCGCTTTGGGAAATAGTGACAGCAAAGAGTTGACGAGATATGATTTCGAGTACCAACAAGACGACGAGGAATCCGAAGACGACATGCTGGACGACGATTTGGTGGAAGATGACTCCTATTCAGATTCTGACGACGGCGAAAATCAGGAACGTCCACCGCGAGATCATACTGGCGGAAAGTGGAAGCCTGGGCTCAGCGATTTGCCGCAGGACATGCCACATATGCATGAGGAGGATGTGGATCCCGACGATGATCATCAGGAACATCCACCACCGACGTATACTGGTGGCAAATGGAAACCTACGGAGACAACGCAGGTAAGAAAAAGAAATTATTTCAAGATCATAGTATAGTAGATAAGTAATTTTATGTATAATTATAATAAATAATTATTATAAATCGGCGAAAATCAGGAACGTCCACCGCGAGATCATACTGGCGGAAAGTGGAAGCCTGGGCTCAGCGATTTGCCGCAGGACATGCCACATATGCATGAGGAGGATGTGGATCCCGACGATGATCATCAGGAACATCCACCACCGACGTATACTGGTGGCAAATGGAAACCTACGGAGACAACGCAGGTAAGAAAAAGAAATTATTTCAAGATCATAGTATAGTAGATAAGTAATTTTATGTATAATTATAATAAATTATTATTATAAATAATCATTATAAATAATTTGAGATTTGAAACAAACATTGCTTTACTCTTCAAAAAGTATACGATGATTGGATATGATGATAAATAATAGTTTTTTCTTAGCAAAATCAATAGAATATACTGTTCGATAGGCGAAAGAGAATAAAACTAAACAAATTAAATCAAATTAATACGCGACTTTTTAATAACAAAAAATTTGTTTTATCCTTCAACCTTATTCATCTCTTCCCCTTGCCCCATCCCCATTACAAAATCATTCTGCATATCTGATCTTCATTGATATGAATGTAACTTGATATGAGAGTCCAAGCAATCTTTGTGCGAGCAATAATGATTTGTTGGACAAAGAGACATTGATCGTTACAGAAGATCGAGGAATACGAGAGCAAAAACACATCCGGACAGCCGCCGCCAGGACACACGCGAGGGAAATGGGTACCGGGTGCACGAACGGATATCGAATCGGGATATTGGTGCATTCCTTGCGGCAGGAAGCTTGCCTCACGATTGGTCTACAACAGACATGTGCTCTCTGCTTTGCATGCCAGAAGGAGCATTAAAGAGATCGACGACGGTCTCCATTTATCGCGCAGAATAAAGTTGCGCGCGAGCAAAAGAATGTCTACTCGTAGGCAGGCTTCGTTTACAACGGTATAAAAACTTTTAATAAAAATATATATATATATTTCTTTTCAATCTGTAGACCTTTTTAGATCACATATTCTTGTTAATTTCTTTGTTGTTTTATATATTGCTCTTATTTATTACGATAGCAAGTGTATAAATCTAATGCGCAAGAGATAAATATTTTTTATATCATAAAATGTTTTCACACAAATTAATTATTTATAAAATATAATATCATTTGTTCTATTGCATTATATTAAATAAAGATTTCAATCAATTAATTAATTATATTAGTTTAGACATAAATGAGATTATATATATATAT